ATTAATCTAACTAAGCCGGCATCTCTGGGCCTGGCAACCATCGAGGAGCGGGTGACTTCGGGTCGGCGATTAAATCCACTACTACCAGTACCAGAGGATGCCTATTGCCCGAGTCTATTGAGTCAGCCAAAGCTATTTTCACTCGAAGAACTACCTCAATCTTTTTCCGCTGCGGATACTGACGCCGAAATGCAGCAGCAGCATGCAGACGCAAAACAGCCCCATGGTGCCGAGGTTGCGAAAGCAGTCCAAGCAAGCAAGCAGCCCAAAGTCAGTCGCAGCACTCACTCTGAAAGTACCGAGAGTGATGTGGAAAACGACTGAAGGCAAGTCGGCTCGGAGGTGCCGATCAAGCTACCATCAACCTACGTCCCAACTTCTTCCAGCCCTTATCATTTATGCCTACAAAATTGCTATATTTTCATGATCTAAGGCGCCTTCTTTATTAATCATTCGCCATTCAATCCGAGCAATGCTGTAATTTGTTTCTATTGAAATATCCGCTAGTTTTGCATTAAAACCCGACCATAATTTGATTTAAAGATTTACAAATAGCTTGTGCTCTAGAGTATTGACGATCCAGCTGTGCCTTTTTAAATAGTTTAATTTCAGCTGTATGTAAGATAAGGAGAAAAAGGCTAGTAAAAGAGCAAAATATTTGGTATTTGGCGGGGAAAGAAAATATCACTTTTCGTAGAGCGTTTGAATCAACTTCCTTTTCTTGACCCAATGCATATTGTTCATTCATGTAAAATGGGTAAGTACATGCCAAGTAGTTACGATCTAATCATAATTTATGAATCACATATTAGAACAATAGACGTTCCCACTTGCTTTGCAGTTGGATTCAACTCTTTTCTCGATTTATTTCTTCTATTAATCTTTAGATCTTTTATTGGTTGCCTACGAGGCAATATTCTTTTTGACTATTGATGCTTTTAAAAACGTGTAATGCCTGGTCATTAACCCATACAGGTCAGATGTGGATGGTGTTAGCAATAGGAAACATGCAACTGTGCAAAAGGAATATTTATCTTCATAATGCTTTTCTTTTTCTCTGTAGACCACTATAACGATTTAAAGTGTAAAGATTCAATTATATTGTTTAATTAAGCATATAAGATAAAAATAAGATAGG